CACCTGTTCACCTACCCACCTGTTCACCTACTCACCTGTTCACCTACTCACCTGTTCACCTACCCACCTGTTCACCTATTCACCTGTTCACCTATTCACCTGTTCACCTACCCACCTGTTCACCTACCCACCTGTTCACCTACCCAACTGTTCACCTATTCACCTGTTCACCTACCCACCTTTTCACCTGTTTACCTGTTCACCTGTTCACCTACCCACCTGTTCACCTACNTGTGTGTTACTAACTGTGTGTTACCCTTATGTTAACTGTCACTGTTTTCAGTGTTGTACAGGAGGGGACCACCTTTCTATCACTCCAGGTAAGTCAGACTCCTCCCACTGAGGTCATGTTTGAAGTAAAACAATCAGAAGCATCACAGTGATGTCATCAGTGTCTCAGTTTGTCCCTGTCCTCGTCCTGCAGTTATTCAGTGGTAGTTCAAAGGGCTGATGAGAGATTTGGGGGCGGGGCTTTGCGTCAGTTTTCTTGGCGTTCTCTGGCAGCTCTCAGTCGGATCACAGCGAACGTCTCCAAGGTAACTGCTGCTTGACTTCCTGTTTCAGATGATGATGATGATGATGATGATGATGATTGTCTTTCTCTTTGATTCATCATCAGGAGCTGATGTTGTGTTACATCATCTGCCCACCTGACATATCAGAGGAGGAGCAAGACTCACCTGTGTATCTGAGCAGGCTGAAGGTCCAGGTAACAGATTCAGTGCCACATGTCAGAGTGTCTGTTTTATCACAGACACACATTTCTGATTACCTGTTCACCTGTTTACCTACCCACCTGTTCACCTACCCACCTGTTCACCTACCCACCTGTTCACCTACTCACCTGTTCACCTGTTTACCTACCCACCTGTTCACCTACCCACCTGTTCACCTACTCACCTGTTCACCTGTTTACCTACCCACCTGTTCACCTACCCACCTGTTCACCTACCCACCTGTTCACCTACTCACCTGTTCACCTGTTCACCTACCCACCTGTTCACC